AGTCCAGATTCAACTTCAATGGTTTTTCACAAGCAATCAGTTCTGCAAATAAACACACCCTATTTTAAAAGTTTAAGAAAAACATCCAAGTGAACCAAAGTTTTATATTAATCATGAATCTATAAAATGTATCATTCACTTCTGCACACCATTGTGCTACAGTGCATCCTGCTAATGCGTCCTATCTATCTATCTATCTATCTATCTATCTATCTATCTATCTATCTATCTATCTATCTATCTATCTATCTATCTATCTATCTATCTATCTATCCTATCAATGTGTTTAACAGCATAGCAAACACTTCTCCACCCTTTAACGTAAAGTGCATTTAATGCATGAGAAAGACTTAATATGTCCTTTTTAGGGGTACTTTTTTCTTTACACAGGGCGAAATTCAATCAAACCTGCATTTCTGTATTTACGCCATAGTTTTTTTTGGTACCTACTGTGTTTGATTGAATCCCAGCCCTGATCTGCTATTAGTGCCACACACCTCCTTTCTTTCGGGAGCAGAAGGGGAAGCAGGGGATATTGGGCAGGCACAGGGGGTCGTCATAGTGAAACATGGCAGCCCTGTCCAGGAACACATTAGCAGACAGGTATAGCTCCTCAATGGACTGACCTGTGGGAGAGGGATATACACGGAGTATATCAAACCCCCCCCTTTGCCCTCAGAACAGCCTCAATTCGTTGGGGCATGGACTCTACAAGGTGTCAAAAGCATTCATTTACATTTTTTAAAAACATTTACATCATTTAGCAGACGCTCTTCTCCAGAGCGACTTACAAATTGGTGCATTCAACTTATGATAGCCAGTGGGACAACCACTTTTCTTATTTTTTGTATTTCTTTTTTTTATGGGGGGGGGGGTAGAAGGATTACTTTATACTATTCCTTAAAGAGGTAGGGTTTCAAGTGTCTCCGGAAGGTGGTCAGTGACTCCGCTGTCCTGGCGTCGTGGGGGAGCTTGTTCCACCATTGGGGTGCCAGAGCAGCGAATAGCTTTGACTGGGCTGAGCGGGAACTGTGCTTCTGTAGAGGTAGGGGAGCTAGCAGGCCAGAGGTGGATGAACGTAGTGTCTGATCAGAGCCTGAAGGTAAGGAGGTGCCATTCCCCTCACTCCGTAGGCAAGCACCATGGTCTTGTAGTAGATGCGAGCCTCAACTGGAAGCCAGTGGAGTGTGCGGAGGAGCGGGGTGACATGAGAGAACTTGGGAAGGTTGAACACCAGACGGGCTGCATCGTTCTGGATAAGTTGTAGGGGTTTAATGGCACAGGCAGGGAGCCCAGCCAACAGCGAGTTGCAGTAATCCAGACGGGAGATGACAAGTGCCTGGATTAGGACCTGTGCCGCTTTCTGTGTAAGGTAGGGTCGTACTCTGCAAATGTTGTAGAGCATGAACCTGCAGGATCGGGTCACCGCTTTGATGTTAGTGGAGAACGACAGGGTGTTGTCCAGGGTCACACCAAGGTTCTTTGCACTCTGGGAGGAGGACACAATGGAGTTGTCAACCGTGATGGCGAGATCATGGAGCGGGCAGTCCTTCCCCGGGAGGAAGAGCAGCTCCGTCTTGCCGAGGTTCAGCTTGAGGTGGTGATCCGACATCCACACTGATATGTCTGCCAGACATGCAGAGATGTGATTCGCCACCTGGTTATCAGAAGGGGAAAGGAGAAAATGAATTGTGTGTCGTCTGCGTAGCTATGATAGGAGAGACCATGTGAGGATATGACAGAGCCAAGTGACTTGGTGTATAGAGAGAATAGGAGAGGGCCTAGAACTGAGCCCTGGGGGACACCAGTGGTGAGAGCATGTGGTGCGGAGACAGATTCTCGCCACGCCACCTGGTAGGAGCGACCTGTCAGGTAGGACGCAATCCAAGAGTGAGCAGCGCCGGAGATGCCCAACTCAGAGGGTGGAGAGGAGGATCTGATGGTTCACAGTATCAAAGGCAGCGGATAGGTCTAGAAGGATAAGAGCAGAGGAGATGCTGGCCGATGTTGACTCCAACGCTTCCCACAGTTGTGTCAAGTTGGCTGGATGTCCTTTGGGTGGTGGACCATTGTTGATACACACGGGAAACTGTTGAGCGTGGAAAACGCAGCAGCGTTGCAGTTCTTAACACAAACCGGTGTGCCTGGCACCTACTACCATAACCTGTTCCAAGGCACTTAAGTATTTTGTCTTGCCCATTCACCCACTGAATGGCACACATACACAATCCATGTCCCAATTGTCTCAAGGCTTAAAAATCCTTCTTTAACCTGTCTCCTCCCCTTCATCAACACTGATTGGATTTAACAAGTGACATCAATAAGGGATCATAGCTTTCACCTGGATTCACCTGGTCAGTCTATGTCATGGAAAGAGCAGGTTTTCTTAATGTTTTGTCAACTCAGTGTACAGAGAGATCAAACACTTACTAACTGCTGGTATTTTTAAAAATGACTAAACCTAGTTTCTACTAAGGATCAATGTACAGTAGCTTTCACGTAGCATCAACGTAGCATCAACATAGCTGGTGGGCTGAATTTGCCAAAAGTAATACAGTTACCTTGATTTCCGCCATAAATCGACTATAGGGTTTCAAGGGTTGGCATATTCCAAGTGTATTTGATGACAACGCAACATACCATTTACCAACCTAAATTGAACGGTGATGATCTGGCGTCTTTGCCCTATGGGTGGATGCAGTTGCGTTGATTTATTGTAATATTCTTCAGGGCAATGTTCAAAAACATACACTCATTCCAGTTAGCACTGTTTATTTCATATTGATGTGTAACATTACGTTAGGGTTAAGATTAGGGTCAGAGAACTATAACACCAGTGGCTTTGTTTTGAAGGGAAGTGCAAACAATCAACAAAGGGAAATAGTGAACTCATGGAGCAGATGTGACACTCTTTAAGGAATACCTGGGATAGGATAAAGTAATCCTTCTACCCCCCCCCCCCCCCTTACCCCAACCCAAACCCCAACCCAAAAACAAACAAAACAAAAAAAATATAAAAAATATAAAATTTAAAAAAATAAAAAATAATAAATGACGTAAATGTAAATGTAAATGTGACACTCAACTTGCCCTCATACGATGATGGCATGGGAGTGCAGGGGTTAAGGCTGACTCCAATGTCCTGTAAAGGGTCTGGAAAAACCAAACAGCAACCAAACAATGTCCTGTAAAGGGTCTGGAAAAACCAAACAGCAACCAAACAATGTCCTGTAAAGGGTCTGGAAAAACCAAACAGCAACCAAACAATGTCCTGTAAAGGGTCTGGAAAAACCAAACAGCAACCAAACAATGTCCTGTAAAGGGTCTGGAAAAACCAAACAGCAACCAAACAATGTCCTGTAAAGGGTCTGGAAAAACCAAACAGCAACCAAACAATGTCCTGTAAAGGGTCTGGAAAAACCAAACAGCAACCAAACAATGTCCTGTAAAGGGTCTGGAAAAACCAAACAGCAACAGAGCAACCAATGTCCTGTAAAGGGTCTGGAAAAACCAAACAGCAACAGAGCAACCAATGTCCTGTAAAGGGTCTGGAAAAACCAAACAGCAACAGAGCAACCAATGTCCTGTAAAGGGTCTGGAAAAACCAAACAGCAACAGAGCAACCAATGTCCTGTAAAGGGTCTGGAAAAACCAAACAGCAACAGAGCAACTTCAGACAATTTTACTTTTTCTGATGAGAAGTAGAAAATATTTATTGATAACAACAATTAGTGAAAACATAAACTGTAACCGACATGAAGTAAAAAAAAATAGACCCACCGTGGTAGTGCTATCCCATGGGCACAGATGTCATTTCAACATCTAGTTTTGATTTACATTTGGTTGAGCTGTCAACTAACTTGAATTCCATGTCATTGGATTTAGGTTAAAAGTTGGGTGAAAAAATATTAAATTCCCTTGCCATGGGGCGTAGAGAAAATGTTGCAGTTTTAAAGCAAGTTTGCTGCAATTCTACACATTTTGCCATGGGACGAAGAGAAGATTTTGCCATTTTTAATATGATATCTGAGTGTGACTGACTAACAAAATCAAGAATTGATCTGTGGGCCTTCAAAAGGGGGTGCCGCCAGTTGCCCATCCCTGCTCTACACAGTATCAAGGGGTCAAAACATGTGCAATTCAATTACACATTCTTCATAGGCAAAGGCAAACATTGCAAGTCAACTTTGTATGTAACGTTTGCTACCTTGCTATAATCTGAATGTCGGTATAACAGATGTAGTACAGCTGTGTTATCTCTGTTGTAATGAGTGGTACCCTGCTTTGCAAATTAAAAGGAATACTTATTTTAAAAAACTCACCACAGCTACAATAGAAGATTTGCATTTTTTCCAAGTTGCAAATAGTGTGAACAGGCCATTGGACCGACCTGAACGAAACCCCTCTGGGGCCAATGGGTCAGGATAGCTAGAACCAAGAGCAGAGACCGTGAGGCATAGTTTCTTCCATAGGCTGGCTGACTGCTCTCCGTACAGCAAGAGGAAGTGACCAGAGCGGGCCAGGCTTCCCCCATTTCAGTGTGTGCATGCGTGTGTGAGCAGGGATATGATGTGGACTTTTCCAGGCCTCATCTTCAATGGATATGTGTATTCTATTTCCACTGGCTCACACATGAAGGTAAACACTGGGCATCGCTGTTTCACCCTGTCTAAAAGAAGGAACACTGGATTAGAAACTGTCTGAGTTGTTGGACTACAACTGTGGGGTCTTATAAATTACAACAAAAAAGCAACATTTTGCATGGCATGACATTAGCGCTGCATAGTCCTCAGACTTTTCTATCTGCTAATGTCTTTTTGAAAGTAGGTCAACCATGTATGCGTAAAATGTAGTATAGGAGTACATCATATATGCTGTACATTTGTGCACCTGCTTTTGAAAAATTTAGGAAATTGAACGTTTTTGGACCTGCAGAAAAGCCATGTTGTGTAGTACATGGGTACAACGTGTGGTGGCGCAAATGATTGGCACTGGCAGCACGAGAGAGCCAGCCAAACAAACAGTACCACAGAGTGCGCACTTCCTGGTAGCTGGTCGTTCATCGGTTCTGTTGTTGTGAGCTTGGTAAATGAAGGGACTACGATGAAACTGCCATTTTTATGGGAATACTAATAGCAATCGCTGCTGGCAATATTGGGGTGGTGGTAAACACACCGGGAACGGTGTCTTGACGTCTCCAAACACTGCATGAGGCTGTCGGTGGAATGTCGCTGAGCTCAGGCGGGTGGACTACTCACACCCCTCCGCCGGACCCGTCCTCATCTATCGCTGGCTATGGGGCCTCACAAACTGGCTGCCATACCGTCTTGATGTCGGTACGGGTATCAGTTTGCCATTCTGGTATTCGGCCGCTGTGTCTTCCAGGGGCAGGTGATGAGTCACTCCGTCTACAGCTCAGTATGGACCCCGGGAAGTCCGGGGAATTCCGTGTCACGCTACGGGACACCAGCGGAACAACGGGTCGGAGTGTGGTAAGAGAGATAAGGGTTAAAGGGGGATTTCAATTCATGTCATTTGTCAGCCATGTTGACAAATAATGTTTATTGCTTTTGACTAAATGCAAAATGGTGTTCATTAAAAATAGTTGTTGAAATTGCCAGCTAAAACGCAATGAAGTAAAGTTACATGTCACGTGATGTTTTTATTATTACCAGTGTTACCAAGGTAGGCAGGCATGTGTGTACAGGGGGTTTTAAAACAACACTATGACATTTCTCCTGGTCTCATGCTTACATTTGACAGGCATGCATGAGTTATTTAGTCATTTGAAACAGATAATTTATAGTTAAACAAAATACACAGAACAAAAATATAAGCACAACAGATTTTACTGAGTTACAGTTCATATAAGGAAATCAGTCAGTTGAAATAAATAAATTAGGCCCTAATCCATGGATTTCACATGACTGGGAATACAGATATGCATCTGTTGGTAACAGATACCTTAAAAAAAAGAAGATAGGGGCATGGATCAGAAGACCAGTCAGTATCTGGTGTGACCACCATTTGGCTCATGCAGCGTGACACATCTCCTTTGCATAGAGTTGATCAGGCTGTTGATTGTGGCCTGTGGAATGTTGTCCCACTCCTCTTCAATTGCTGTGCAAAGTTGCTGGATATTGGCAGGAAATGGAACGCACTGTTGTACATATCGATCCAGAGCATCCCAAACATGCTCAATGGGTGACATGTCTGGTGAGTATGCAGGCCATGGAAGAACTGGGACATTTTAAGCTTCCAGGAATTATGTACAGAAACTTGCGACATGGGGCTGTGCATTATCATGCTGAAACATGAGGAGATGGTGGAGGATGAATGGCACGACAATGGGCCTCAGGATCTCGTCACGGTATCTCATTCAAATTACCATGCTATTGTTTTCGTTGTCCTTAGCTTATGCCTACCCATATCATAACCCCACCATGGGGCACTCTGTTCACAATGTTGACATCAGCAAACCACTCGCCTACACAACGCCATACACGCTGTCTGCCATCTGCCCAGTACATTTGAAACCGGGATTCATCTGTGAAGCTTCTCCAGCGTGCCAGTGCCCATCGAAGGTCAGCATTTGACCACTGAAGTCGTTTATGACGCCGAACTGCAGTCCGGTGAAGACCCTGGTGAGGACGTCGAGCACGCAGATGAGCTTCCCTGAGACTGTTTCTGAAAGTTTGTGCAGAAATTCTTCAGTTGTGCAAACCCACAGTTTCATCAGCTGTCCAGGTGGCTGGTCTCAGACGATCCCGCTGGTGAAGAAGCCGGATGTGGAGGTCCTGGCCTGGTGTGGTTACACGTGGTCTGCTGTTGTGATGCCGGTTGGACGTACTGCCAAATTCTCTAAAACGATGTTGGAGGCGGCTTATGGTAGCGAAAAGAACATTCAATTCTCTGGCAACAGCTGTGGTGGACATGCCTGCAGTCAGCATGCCAATTGCATGCGCCCTCAAATCTTGAGACATCTGTGGCATTGTATTGTGTGACACAACTGCATATTTTAGAGTGACCTTTTATTGTCCCCAGCACAAGGTGCACCTGTGTAATGACCGTGCTGTTTAATCAGCTTCTTTATATGCCCCACCTGTCAGGTGGATGGACTATCTTGGCAAAGGAAAAAATGCTCACTAACAGGGATGTAAACTAATTTGTGCACACAATTTGAGAGAAATAAGCTTTTTGTGTGTATAGAACATTTCTGGGATCTTTTATTTCAGCTAATGAAACACTTTACATGTTGCGTTTAATATTTTTGTCCAGTATAGTTATATATTCTTCTCATCAAACATTCCCACTGACTAGGTCTATAGGCTGTACCTTGCTACAGTGCTGTCCAATCAATCTCTCCCAAAAACAGAGCTCAAAAGTAATTCCAGTGCAAGAATTACAGTCAACATACTACCATGGAACAAACAGTGGTAGGCAGCCAATTTCAGTGTGATCAAATGAGCACCACTCTTCTTCTCTCTCCCCCTCCATGTCTTCCAGTCCATTGCAGAGTTTGACCTGAGGTCGGTGCACTATGAGGTGAAATCACCAAAATGCCATGAGCTGAGTTTGGCCACGCCCCCTCACGACCGCATCAGCTTCAACTTCCGCTGCGAGCAGGAGGCTCAGGAGTGGGCCACAGTGGTGATGTCATCACTCCGAGAGGCACACAGGGGTCAGTCTACTTTCTTCCCGCCTCTTTTCTCTTTGATCTGATATTCCACTATATTCTCCTCTAATCTTTGCTGTGCTCTAATAACTTGAGTCCCCTGTCTTCTCCTGTCCTGACCCCTCAGTGTCCGACAGCCCTCCCACCGATGACCGACAACTTCCTCTAGAGGCCTTTGAGACACCTAGCTCCACTTCCTTACCACGCACAGGTAGCCCTCAACAGTGGGGGTGTGTGTACAGTAGTGTATTGGCCAAGTTTCTACCCTTTTTCAATTGCTCACTGTCCCTGACTCTGTGTTTCTCCCTTGTGTCCATTCGTCTGTAGAGGAGATGTGTGCTGAGCTGACCAGGGCCATCCAGGCTGGTGACATCCAGGCGGCCTCCATCTACGCTGCCACCCTGGCTCGTCAGCAGGCAGCGCTGAAGATCCAGCCCTCTGAGAGGAGCTACGGCGACACAGAGCTTAGGTGAGAGAATTAAGAGCAAACAAGCTACTGGGTAGAAGAACAGGAAGTTATTGAAGAAGTAAGAATATTGTGCGAATTGGTGCGATGACAGGAAATGGGTATTTTAGGAGTTCATGACGATTGTATCTTTCTGTGAAAGCTTGGCTGTAGTGGTCGAAGATTCTTCGTCTTCCTGTTGTGTCACAGTGAAAGTCCTCCCCCACGCGACCATCGCAATACTCAAGCAGCAGGTTAGTCTGAACAGCTAAAATAAGAATATATATTTTTTTACAGTTTGAATTTGAATTCAGATCTCTATAACAGTATTTAGCTCTACAATAGTTTCAACATAATGTAAACCTACTTTCTGTCTTCAGTTTTTGTACCTTTCTGTATGTCCCTCTGTCCCCTAGGTATTCCTGGAGTATGGCTTCCATCCGCGGGTGCAGCGCTGGGTGATTGGCCAGTGTCTGTGCGCCGACCAGCGCTCTCTAGCGTCCTACGGGGTGCGTAGGGACGGAGACACAGCCTTCCTGTACCTCCTCTCTGCCCGCCACGCCCGCCTCACACGGCAGCTGCTCCAGCAGGACCAGGAAAGAGCCCTCCTCACCCCCGCTACCCCTCCTCCTGAGACCCCAAGCAACGGCCCCACATCCCAGGAATGGAGGGGTTACAGCACCCTGCCCCCCAGACTGAGCCACAGCAGCATGGGTGACACTGCTAAACACTCACACAAATGCACGCACATACACACCATTGACAGAAGGACCCATTGTGTTGGCTTCCTCCTGACGAGCTTTGTTCCGATAGGTTCAAATGGAGCGCGGCCAAATGGAGCCGGGGCAGAGAGGCTGAACATCAGTGAAATCAAAGACCTCATCAACCTGGAGATGCCACAACTCAACAAAGCACTTACCCCTATGAAATCAGGCCCTCAGGTACACTATTATTATTATTATTATTATTTATTTCACCTTTATTTAACCAGGTAAGCCAGTTGAGAATAAGTTCTCATTTACAACTGCGACCTGGCCAAGATAAAGCAAAGCAGTGCGATTTAAAAACAACAACAACACAGAGTTACATATGGGGTAAACAAAACGTACAGTCAATAACACAATAGAAAATATATATACAGTGTGTGTGAATGTAGTAAGTTATGGAGGTAAGGCAATAAATAGGCCATAGTGCAAAATAATTACAAATTAGTATTAACACTGGAGTGATAGATGTGCAGAAGATGATGTGCAAATAGTGATACTGGGGTGCAAATGAGCAAAATAAATAACAATGTAAATAACAATATGGGGATGAGGTAGTTGGGTGGGCTAATTACAGATGGGCTGTGTACAGGTGCAGTGGTCGGTAAGCTGCTCTGACAACTGATGCTTAAAGTTAGTGAGGGAGATAAATGTCTCCAGCTTCAGAGATTTTTGCAGTTCGTTCCAGTCATTTGCAGCAGAGAACTGGAAGGAATGGCGGCCAAAGGAGGTGTTGGCTTTGGGGATGACCAGTGAGATATACCTGCTGGGACACATACTACGGGTGGGTGTTGCTATGGTGACCAATGATCTAAGATAAGGCGGGGACTTGCCTAGAAGTGATTTATAGATGACCTGGAGCCAGTGGGTTTGGCGACAAATATGAAGTGAGGGCCAACGAGAGCGTACAGGTCACAATGGTGGGTAGTATATGGGGCTTTGGTGACAAAACGGATGGCACTGTGATAGACTACATCCAATTTGCTGAGTAGAGTGTTGGAGGCTATTTTGTAAATGACATCGCCGAAGTCAAGGATCGGTAGGATAGTCCGTTTTACGAGGGCATGTTTGGCAGCATGATGGAAGGAGGCTTTGTTGCGAAATAAGTAGCCGATTCTAGATTTAACTTTGGATTGGAGATGCTTAATGTGAGTCTGGAAGGAGAGTTTACGGTCTAACCAGACACCTAGGTATTTGTAGTTGTCCACATATTCTAAGTCAGACCCGCCGAGAGTAGTGATTCTAGTCGGGCGGGCGGGTGCAAGCTGCGTTCGATTGAAGAGCATGCATTTAGTTTTACTAGTGTTTAAGAGCAGTTGGAGGCTACGGAAGGAGTGTTGTATGGCATTGAAGCTCATTTGGAGGTTTGTTAACACAGTGTCCAATGAAGGGCCAGATGTAACTGTAAGTCACTCTGGATAAGAGCGTCTGCTAAATGACTAAAATGTCAATGTATACAAAATGGTGTCGTCTGCATAGAGGTGGATCTGAGAGTCACCAGCAGCAAGAGCGACATCATTGATATACACAGAGAATAGAGTCGGCCCGAGAATTGAACCCTGTGGCACCCCCAGAGACTGCCAGAGGTCCAGACAACAGGCCCTCCGATTTGACACATTGAACTCTATCTGAGAAGTAGTTGGTGAACCAGGCGAGGCAGTCATTTGCGAAACCAAGGCTATTTAGTCTGCCAATAAGAATGCGGTGATTGACAGAGTCAAAAGCCTTGGCCAGGTCGATGAAGACGGCTGCACAGTACTGTCTTTTATCGATCACGGTTATTATATCGTTTAGGACCTTGAGCGGGGCTGAGGTGCACCCATGACCAGCTCGGAAACCAGATTGCATAGCGGAGAAGGTACGGTGGGATTCGAAATGGTCGGTGATCTGTTTGTTAACTTGGCTTTCAAATACTTTCGAAAGGCAGGGCAGGATGGATATAGGTCTGTAACAGTTTGGATCTAGAGTGTCACCCCCTTTGAAGAGGGTGATGACCGCAGCAGCTATCCAATCTCTGGGGATCTCAGACGATATCGAAAGAGAGGTTGAACAGGCTAGTAATAGGGGTTGCGACAATTTCAGCTGCTAATTTTCGAAAGAAAGGGTCCAGATTGTCTAGCCCAGCTGATTAGCTCTGTACAGGACCCCTTGGTAATAATTGAATAACTATTTCACTCCACTACATGGATTTCACCCTCATAACACAACTGATGCATACCTAGATGCTGTATGTTGACATACAGTAGGTTTCCATCTACAGTGGGGAAAAAAAGTATTTAGTCAGCCACCAATTGTGCAAGTTCTCCCACTTAAAAAGATGAGAGAGGTCTGTAATTTACATCATAGGTACAGGTCAACTATGACAGACAAATTGAGAAAAGAAAATCCAAAAAATCACATTGTAGGACTTTTAAGGAATTTTTTTGCAAATTATGGTGGAAAATAAGTATTTGGTCACCTACAAACAAGCAAGATTTCTGGCTCTCACAGACCTGTAACTTCTTTTTTAAGAGGCTCCTCTGTCCTCCACTCGTTACCTGTATTAATGGCACCTGTTTGAACTTGTTATCAGTATAAAAGACACCTGTCCACAACCTCAAACAGTCACACTCCAAACTCCACTATGGCCAAGACCAAAGAGCTGTCAAAGGACACCAGAAACAACATTGTAGACCTGCACCAGGCTGGGAAGACTGAATCTGCAATAGGTAAGCAGCTTGGTTTGAAGAAATCAACTGTGGGAGCAATTATTAGGAAATGGAAGACATACAAGACCACTGATAATCTCCCTCGATCTGGGGCTCCACGCAAGATCTCACCCCGTGGGGTCAAAATGATCACAAGAACGGTGAGCAAAAATCCCAGAACCACACGGGGGGACCTAGTGAATGACCTGCAGAGAGCTGGGACCAAAGTAACAAAGTCTACCATCAGTAACACACTACGCCGCCAGGGACTCAAATCCTGCAGTGCCAGACGTGTCCCCCTGCTTAAGCCAGTACATGTCCAGGCCCGTCTGAAGTTTGCTAGAGTGCATTTGGATGATCCAGAAGAGGATTGGGAGAATGTCATATGGTCAGATGAAACCAAAATAGAACTTTTTGGTAAAAACTAAACTCGTCGTGTTTGGAGGACAAAGAATGCTGAGTTGCATCCAAAGAACACCATACCTACTGTGAAGCATGGGGGTGGAAACATCATGCTTTGGGGCTGTTTTTCTACAAAGGGACCAGGACGACTGATCTGTGTAAAGGAAAGAAGCATTTCAAGGTCCTGGAGTGGCCTAGCCAGTCTCCAGATCTCAACCCCATAGAAAATCTTTGGAGAGAGTTGAAAGTCTGTGTTGCCCAGCGACAGCCCCAAAACATCACTGCTCTAGAGGAGATCTGCATGGAGGAATGGGCCAAAATACCAGCAACAGTGTGTGAAAACCTTGTGAAGACTTACAGAAAACGTTTGACCTGTGTCATTGCCAACAAAGGGTATATAACAAAGTATTGAGAAACTTTTGTTATTGACCAAATACTTATTTTCCACCATAATTTGCAAATAAATGCATAAAAAATCCTACAATGTGATTTTCTGGATTTTTTTTCCTAATTTTGTCTGTCATAGTTGACGTGTACCTATGATGAAAATTACAGGCCTCTCCCATCTTTTTAAGTGGGAGAACTTGCACAATTGGTGGCTGACTAAATACTTATTTTCCCCCCTGTACACACCTGTAAAGACCGTCTCGCTGTGTGTCTCAGGGTTGGGCCTGCCCCTCTTGCACGTACATAAACAAGCCCACGCGGCCTGGGTGTGAGATCTGCAGTACAGACCGTCCAGAGAGCTATACTGTTCCTGGGAGCTACAAACCAGACCCTCTGGAGCTCCGCCGCATACAGCAGGAGAAAGAAGCTGTCCGACAGTACCAGCAGGTAGGATGGTTTTATGCTCATGAACACATACAGTGGCTTGCGAAAGTATTCACCACCCCTTGGCATTTTACCTATTTTGTTGCCTTACAACCTGGAATTAAAATGTATTTTTGGGGGGTTTGTGTCATTTGATTTACACAACATGCCTACCACTTTGAAGATGCTAAATCTTATTTTTGTGTGATACAAACAAGAAATAAGACAAAAAAACAGAACTTGAGCATGCATAACTATTCACCCCCCCCCAAAGTCAATACTTTGTAGAGCCACCTTTTGCAGCAATTACAACTGCAAGTCTCTTGGGGTATGTCTCTATAAGCTTGGCACATCTAGCCACTGGGATCTTTGCCCATTCTTCAAGGCAAAACTGCTCCAGCTCCTTCGAGTTGGATGGGTTCTGCTGGTGTACAGCAATCTTTAAGTCATACCACAGATTCTCAATTGGATTGAGGTCTGGGCTTTGACTAGGCCATTCCAAGACATTTAAATGTTTCCCCTTAAACCACTCAAGTGTTGCTTTAGCAGTATGCTTAGGGTAATTGTCCTGCTGGAAGGTGAACCTCCGTCCCAGTCTCAAATCTCTGGAAGACTGAAACAGGTTTCCCTCAAGAATTTCCCTGTATTTAGCGCCATCCATAATTCCTTCAATTCTGACCAGTTTCCCAGTCCCTGCCGATGAAAAGCATCCCCACAGCATGATGCTGCCACCACCATGCCTCACTGTGGGGATGGTGTTCTCGGGGTGATGAGAGGTCAATCAATCAATCAATCAATTTTATTTTATATAGCCCTTCTTACATCAGCTAATATCTCGAAGTGCTGTACAGAAACCCAGCCTAAAACCCCAAACAGCTAGTAATGCAGGTGTAGAAGCACGGTGGCTAGGAAAAACTCCCTAGAAAGGCAAAACCTAGGAAGAAACCTAGAGAGGAACCAGGCTATGAGGGGTGGCCAGTCCTCTTCTGGCTGTGCCGGGTGGAGATTATAACAGAACCATGCCAAGATGTTCAAAAATGTTAATAAGTGACAAGCATGGTCAAATAATAATCAGGAATAAATCTCAGTTGGCTTTTCATAGCCGATCATTAGAGTTTAAAACAGCAGGTCTGGGACAGGTAGGGGTTCCATAACCGCAGGCAGAACAGTTTAAACTGGAATAGCAGCAAGGCCAGGCGGACTGGGGATAGCAAGGAGTCACCACGGCCGGTAGTCCCGACGTATGGTCCTAGGGCTCAGGTCTCTCAGTTGGCTTTTCATAGCCGATCATTTAGAGTTGAAAACAGCAGGTCTGGGACAGGTAGGGGTTTCGTAGCCGCAGGCAGAACAGTTGAAACTGGAATAGCAGCAAGGCCAGGCGGACTGGGGGCAGCAGGGTGTCATCATGCCCGGTAGTCCTGACGTATGGTCCTAGGGCTCAGGTTCTCAGAGAGAAAGAGAGAACGAGAGAATTAGAGAGAGCATACTTAAATTCACACAGGACACTGGATAAGACAGAAGTACTCCAGGTATAACCAACTAACCCCAGCCCCCCGACACATAAACTACTGCAGCATAAATACTGGAGGCTGAGACAGGAGCGGTCCGGAGACACTGTGGCCCCATCCGAAGAAACCCCCGGACAGGGCCAAACAGGAAGGATATAACCCCACCCACTCCGCCAAAGCACAGCCCCCGCACCACTAGAGGGATATCCCCAACCACCAACTTACAATCCTGAGACAAGGCCGAGTATAGCCCACAGAGGTCTCCACCACAGCACAAACCAAGGGGGGGGGGGGCGCCAACCCAGACAGGAAGATCACGTCAGTAACTCAACCCACTCAAGTGACGCACCCCTCCCAGGGACGGCATGAAAGAGCACCAGCAGGCCAGTGACTCAGCCCCTGCAACAGGGTTAGAGGCAGAGAACCCCAGTGGAGAGGGGAACCGGCCTGGCAGAGACAGCAAGGGCTGTTCGTTGCTCCAGCCTTTCCGTTCACCTTCACACTCCTGGGCCAGACTACACTCAATCATATGACCTACTGAAGAGATAAGTCTTCAGTAAAGACTTAAAGGTTGAGACCGAGTCTGCGTCTCTCACATGGGTAGGCAGACTGTTCCATAAAAATGGAGATCTATAGGAGAAAGCCCTGCCTCCCGCTGTTTGCTTAGAAATTCTAGGGACAATTAGGAGGCCTGCGTCTTGTGACCGTAGCGTACGTATTGGTATGTACGGCAGGACCAACTCGGAAAGATAGGTAGGAGCAAGCCCATGTAACGCTTTATAGGTTAACAGTAAAACCTTGAAATCAGCCCTTGCCTTAACAGGAAGCCAGTGTAGGGAAGCTAGCACTGGAGTAATATGATCAAATTTCTTGGTTCTAGTCAGGATTCTAGCAGCCGTATTTAGCACTAACTGAAGTTTATTTAGTGCTTTATCCGGGTAGCCGGAAAATAGAGCATTGCAGTAGTCTAATCTAGAAGTAACAAATGCATGGATTAATTTTTCTGCATCATTTTTGGACAGAAAATTTCTGATTTTTGCAATGTTACGTAGATGGAAAAAAGCTGTCCTTGAAACAGTCTTGATATGTTCGTCAAAAGAGAGATCAGGGTCAAGAGTAACGCCTAGGTCCTTCACAGTTTTATTTGAGACGACTTTACAACCATCAAGATGAATTGTCAGATTTAACAGAAGATCTCTTTGTTTCTTGGGACCTAGAACAAGCATCTCTGTTTTGTCCGAGTTTAAAAGTAAAAAGTTTTCAGCCATCCACTTCCTTATGTCTGAAACACAGGCTTCTAGCGAGGGCAATTTTGGGGCTTCACCATGCTTCATTGAAATGTACAGCTGTGTGTCATCCGCATAGCAGTGAAAGTTAACATTATGTTTTCGAATAACATCCCCAAGAGGTAAAATATATAGTGAAAACAATAGTGGTCCTAAAACGCAACCTTGAGGAACACCGAAATGTACAGTTGATTTGTCGGAGGACAGACCATTCACAGAGACAAACTGATATCTTTCCGACAGGTAGGATCTAAACCAGGCCAGAACTTGTCCGTGTAGACCAATTTGGGTTTCCAGTCTCTCCAAAAGAATGTGGTGATCGATGGTGTCAAAGGCAGCACTAAGGTCTAGTAGCACGAGGACAGATGCAGAGCCTCGGTCTGACGCCATTAAAAGGTCATTTACCACCTTCACAAGTGCAGTCTCAGTGCTATGATGGGGTCTAAAACCAGACTGAAGCATTTCGTATACATTGTTTGTCTTCAGAAAGGCAGTGAGTTGCTGCGCAACAGCTTTTTCTAAAATTTTTGAGAGGAATGGAAGATTCGATATTGGCCGATAGTTTTTTATATTTTCCGGGTCAAGGTTTGGCTTTTTCAAGAGAGGTGTTGGGTTCGCACCTGACATAGCGTTTTCCTTGATGGCCAAAAAGCTCAATTTTAGTCTCATCTGACCAGAGTACCTTCTTCCATATGTTTGGGGAGTCTCCCACATTGCTTTTTGGCGAACACCAAACGTGTTTGCCTATTTGTTTCTTTAAGCAATGGCTTTTGTCTGGCCACTCTTCCGTAAAGCCCAGCTCTGTGGAGTGTACGGCTTAAAGTGGTCCTATGAACAGATACTCCAATCTCCGCTGTGGAGCTTTGTAGTCTCTCTCTCTGATTAATGCCCTCCTTGCCTGGTCCGTGAGTTTTGGTGGGCGGCCCTCTCTTGGCAGGTTTGTAGTGGTGCCATATTCTTTCAATTTTTTTATAATGGATTTAATGGTGCTCCGTGGGATGTTCAAAGTTTCTGATATTTTTTTTATAACCCAACCCTGATATGTACTTCTCCACAACTTTGTCCCTGACCTGTTTAGAGCTCCTTGGTCTTCATGGTGCCGCTTGCTTGGTGGTGCCCCTTGCTTAGTGGTGTTGCAGACTCTGGGGCCTTTCAGAACAGGTGTATATATATATATATATATATATATATATATATATATACTGAGATCATGTGACAGATCAGGTGACACTTCGATTGCACACAGGTGGACTTTATTTAACTAATTATGTGACTTCTGAAGGTAATTGGTTGCACCAGATCTTATTTAGGGGCTTCATAGCAAAGGGGGTGAATACATATGCACACACCACTTTTCCGTTTTTTATTTTGTATAAATTTTTTGAAACTTCTTTAGTTCTTTTTTTCATTTCACTTCACCAATTTGGACTATTTTGTGTATGTCCATTACATGAAATCCAAATAAAAATCCATTTAAATTACAGGTTGTAATGCAACAAAATAGGAAAAACACTCACTCACTCACTCATGCACGTAAACACATTCAAATGGTGCGTACAGCAGGAAATGCAAGCTGTCAGACAGTGCCAACAGGACCGGTAGGAACATCTGATGCAGACACACACATACACACTCTTGCATATGCACACAGTTTACAGTTCATTACAGTGCGTCATTTATTAGGGAAAAGGTTTATTAGGGAAAAGGTAGGCTTAGTAGGGATAGTAGGAGTTGAGACGACCAGGGATGGTAGGCTGGGCTCTAAGGCTGACTCTCTTCTCTTCTGTCTCTTTGTTTTTTGAAGGAGGAAGGGAGAAGAGAGGAGCTGAGGGGCGCGGGTGCTCAAAATGACTCACTACTGGAAAACTTGGCCATGGACTAGACACACACACACACACACACACACCACGTAACATCGCAGAAAGACGCTGACTGACTGATGCACACACACACACTTTCTATGTTTTTGTAAACATACTTGAACGTTCTTTTCAACCCATGCACTCACGCTCAAGCTACTAAGTAATACTCATTTATCGTATGACAGAATCTCAGTGACTGTACACTACATTACATAGCATTGTGGCTTCCTACCCTCTGACATTGTTTGATACAAATACACTACATATACAAAAGTATATGGACACCCCTTCAAATTAGTGGACTCAGCTATTTCAGCCACACCCGTTGCTTATAGGTGTATAAAATTGAGCACACAACCATGCAATCTCCATAGACAAACATTGGCAGTAGAATGGCCTTACTGAACAGCTCAGTGACTTTCAACGTGGCACCGTCATAGGATGCCACCTTTCCAACAAGTCAGGTTTAAAAATGTCTGCCCTACTAGAGCTGCCCCTGTAAGTGCTGTTATTGTGAAGTGGAAACGTCTAGAAGCAACAACGGCTCAGCCGCGAAGTGGTAGGCCACACAAGCTCACAGAACGGGACCAACGAGTGCTGAAGCGCATAGTGCGTAAAAATCGTCTGTCCTCGGTTGCAACACTCACTACCAAGTTCCAATCTGCCTCTGGAAGCTACGTCAGCACAATAACTGTTCGTCGGGAGCTTCATGAAATGGGTTTCCATGGCCAAGCAGCCACACACACCTAAGATCACCATGCGCAATGCCAAGCGTCGGCTGGAGTGGTGTAAAGCTGGCATAGTGCCAACTGTAAAGTTTGGTGGAGGAGGAATAATGTTCTGGGGCTGTTTTTCATAGTTCGGGCTAGGCCCCTTAGTTCCAGTGAAGGGAAATCTTAACGCTTCAGCATACAATGACATCATAGACGATTCTGTGCTTCCAACTTTGTAGCAACAGTTTGGGGAAGGCTTTTTCCTGTTTCAGCATGACAAAGCGAGGTCCATACAGAAATGGTTTGTAGAGATCGGTGTGGAAGAACTTGGCTGGCCTGCACAGAGCCCTGACCTCAACCCCATTGAACACCTTTGGGATGAATTGGAACACCGACTGCGAGCCAGGCCTAATCGCCCAACATCAGTGCTCGATCGCACTAATGCTCTTTTGGCTGAATGGAAGCAAGTCCCCGCAGCAATGTTCCAACATCTAGTGGAAAGCCTTCCCAGAAGAGTGGAGGCTGTTGTAGCAGCAAAGGGGGGACCAACTCCATATTAATGCCCATGATTTTGGAATGAGATGTTCGACAAGCAGGTGTCCACATACTTTTGTTCATGTAGTGTACATCAGAAGTGTGTTTGTATGACTTCTAAGCAAATGAAAGAATCATGGCTGTTGTATGTTGAAGTCTTTGTATATAGGACAGCAGGTAGCCTAGTGGTTAAGAGCGTTGGGCCAGTAACCGAAAGGTCGCTGGTTTGAATCCCGAGCCGACTAGCTGAAAGAAATCTGCCGCTGTGCCATTGAGCAAGGCATTTAACTATAATTGCTACTGTAAATTGCTCTGGATAAGAGTGTCTGCTAAATGACTCAAATGTAAATGTAACTTTGCATGTTTGTAATGAATTATGTAATTATACTGCAAGTCCATGTAGGCCAAGTTTGCTTAGTGTGTGCCAACCAGTTGAAACCTACCATTTCAGAGAAAACAAAGAACTGCTGTGTTGCCCACTCTGTGCCTGTGTTACAGTCAGGGTCATCAAGTGGACAACTTCAATGGCCGTTTGTTTTTAATGTGTTATCTTTCAAAATGCACAATTTAATAAATAATGAAGGCCTTTTGACATCCATGTTGTTGCAATTAAAACGTGTATTTAACTGTAATAAAGCAAGCGAATAAAATGCTGTTTCGAACAAAATGAACGTCTGTCTGTGTGTGTGAACGATGTGTGTGTTCAACGTGTGTGTTCAACGTGTGTGTTGTATGTTGTGGATCCCCACCACCCCAGGCGAGGGAGACAGAGCGGAGGGAGAACTTTGCCCGGCTGGTGATGTTGGATGGAAAGGACCTGGTGCCCAACCCAGATGCTGTGGAATGTAGGATCTGTTACCTGGACCTGCAGCCTGGGGAGGGAGTCCTGCTCAGAGAGTGTCTCCACTGTTTCTGCAGGTAACACTCAGAGACATGGGAGACAGTATCCGTCCACAATTCTCTTGACCCTCCTCCTAATTACCCTCCCCCTCATGACCCAACCCCTCGTGACCCTCCCCCTAGACACTAGCTGATCTGAAAGCATTGGAGCGGTGTTAGCAATGTGACGGAAACTCCACTTAGCCTGCCAGAGAGCTGCTAAGTGCAGCTATAACATCATATTGCTTACACCCCTCGGATTCTTTCTTTCTACAAGAATTGTCTTGGGGTGGATTTCGAACTGTGCAAGAGGGGCGTGGGTGAGATGCTTATGCAGAGATGGAGCAAGTGTGTTGTTGTGTTCACAGAGATTGCCTGCGCTCAGTAGTCCTGATGTGTGAAGACCCGGAGGTGGCCTGTCCGTACCGTGATGACACATACGCCTGTGACTGCACCCTGCAGGGGAGAGAGATCAGAGCTGTGAGTGGAGACATCACTGGCTTCTTTCTAATGTATATAATAGTAGCTACACAAGATGGTCCATTGGATATTATAGACATACTGTGTAACACTGCCTAATGTCTGGTTAATGCAGACCAGACAACCCAACATACATCAGTAATCTAATCATCTCTCTCCCCTCTGCTCTTCCATTCCTTCCTGCCTACCAGTTGGTGTCGGAAGAGGAGTATGAGCGCTGGCTGCAGAGAGGCTTGTCTGTGGCAGAGTCTCGCTGTGAGGGCAGTTACCACTGTGCCAGCCCAGACTGTGCCGGATGGTGTGTGTACGAGGACACAGTCAACGTGTTCGACTGCCCCGTCTGCAACAAGCACAACTGCCTGCTCTGCAAGGTACACACACACACACACACACACATCACATTTAGATTCACCATTAATTGCATTCACCATGGATTTGAACAGATCTCATTCTCTACTCTGTCTGTCTCTCTCAGGCAATCCATGAAGGGATGGACTGTAAGCAGTACCAGGATGACCTGACGGCCCGTGCTGAGAACGACTCGGCAGCCCGCAGAACTAGAGATCTACTCAAGGTGACGCACAGACACTTTTACACACATACTTTATACCTGTAGATCGATTTCAGCATTGAGGACAATGAGATTTTAGGGGAAGGATTGTTAGTGTTTTCAGGTTAGTAAGACTTTGCTCATATCATATTAACAGATAATAACTGTTACATTAACATGTAATACCTCTCTCTCTCTCTCTCTCTCTCTCTCTCTCTCTCTCTCTCTCTCTCTCTCTCTCTCTCTCTCGCTCGCTCGCTCGCTCTCTCTCTCTCTCAGACCCTGGTCCTCTCCGGGGAGGCCATGCACTGCCCTCAGTGCGGCATCATCGTGCAGAAAAAGGAGGGCTGTGATTGGCTGCGTTGCACTGTCTGTCACAGTGAGATCTGCTGGGTCACCAGAGGGCCTCGCTGGGGGCCAGGGGTAAGAGCCCGCCCCTCCTGTCTCTCTCTGTCACATTCAGTCTAGCTCTGCATGGTGGTGCTCCTCTGGTCACCTGTAATGCAGACATTTCACATTTGTCTGTCTGCTACCTGTGCAGCGCAGCATGTAGCCTAGCAGTTAGAGCGTTGGGCCAGTAACTGAAAGGTCGCTGGTTCGAATATCCGCACCGACAAGGTGAAAAATCTGTTAATGTGCCCTTGAGAAAGGCACTTAACCCTAATTCGCTCCAGGGGCGCCGTACTACTATGGCCGACCCTATAAAACAACACATTTCACTGCACCTATCCGGTGTGTGACAATAAAATATACACATCTAATGTGCTTCTGTTTCCTCCCAGGGTCCAGGAGACACCAGCGGTGGCTGCCGCTGCAACATCAACAACCAAAAATGTCACCCAAAGTGTCAGAACTGCCACTGAGAAAGACAATGAGGGATGTGTGTGTTGAGAGAGTGAGTGAGTGAGATAGGACAAATTAGTGTGTGTCACTCAAAGGATTGATGATTGCACTACACATTTAGCTATGCACGTTTCCTGTTGGTTTCTGTTCTCCCTTTAGGCTGCGTTTAGACAGTCAGCCCAATTCTGATTTTTTTTTCACTAATTTGTCTTTTGACCAATCAGATCAGCTCTGAAAAAGATCTGTGAAAAGATCTGATGTGATTGGCCAAAAGACCAATTAGTGGAAAAATATCAGAATTGGGCTGCTTGTCTAAATGACTCATGCAAATAGAGTCATGCAATACTGTTCAGGGACACATTAAACTAAGTGTACTTAACTTTTTCAGCACTCAAAGCCAAAGTCTAATGCTAATTACGGCATTCTGGGGTTGTAACAGAGAGCGTACTGTGTTCTGACTGGAAATAATGCTAATTACGGCATTCTGGGGTTGTAACAGAGAGCGTACTGTGTTCTGACTGGAAATAATGCTAATTACGGCATTCTGGGGTTGTAACAGAGAGCGTACTGTGTTCTGACTGGAAATAATGCTAATTACGGCATTCTGGGGTTGTAACAGAGAGCGTACTGTGTTCTGACTGGAAATAATGCCATTTTTTCTGCATAGAAACAGAACAAACATAATCTCTGTATCAAACTGAATTGCGTTGTGTGTTAATTAATAGCCATTTTGAAAGTACATGAGAGTTCATGTGAAATTAATACTTCTTCATGTTTTTCTATGTTTTAGCACCTCTGAATGAATGCCAGGCTCTGTCACGTAGATCTGTTTTGAAGACTAAGTGTTCTGTTCTATTTATTACACACAGGCTCTTATTACAGACAGACAAATGTATGAATGCCAAGAAAACACTTTCTATCTGCCAGTTTTCATGGAATAATCAGTGGATCTGCTCAGTAGCTGCTGTGTGCCATAGTGCATTTTAAAACAGTGTGTCAATAAAGCCACTCTAAACACAAGATTGAGTCTCTCTAATGAAATGTAATATGATAAAGCATTAGATGAGGGTGGTTCAGAAGAGGGTGGTTTAACACAAAAAACACCACAGTTTGAATGCCTCCTGTTTTGCCAAAGCTCATGAGGATGGCACACTCGGTCTGCGTTTCTTTAGCCTATTCAAGCTGCATAAGGTAATTAAAATGTATTACCCAGTCTATGGTAAATACACTATTTTCATGGTTTACATTGTTAATGTAACAAATATCAGTATGTGTTATTATTTTACATTTTTGCATTTTACTCATTTAGCAGACGCTCTTAACCAGAGCGACTTACAGTTAGTGAATGCAAACATTTTCATACTGTAGCCTACGGAGGAATATAATGCCAGAATTCGTGAAGCTGTTCATTATAGTTCGCTTTTTGTCAGTCAGTGGCAATGTAGGCCTGAATGCAAAACTGATGCATTGCATTGCTAAATGTTTGGAATAAACTAATGATCACTCTACTATGGCAAATCCTAAACCTTGTCATATGATGGTCATCTGTTGCAGTAGTCTGACAACTCACACCAAATTCTTACTATGCTCTGTCGTTCGCTACATACTGTCGTTCGCTACATACTGTCGTTCGCTACATACTGTCAAGCAAGGAGTCTGGGTAGCCAGGCAACTGTTGCAGCTAGCTGGTACTAAAAAGCTGTAAATCCGGTTTCAGAAATGTGACAATACAGGAACAGGAAGACCGATGAGGCTTGCCTCAAGCACATCAATGAAGATTCCGAGATACACTGCACAGTAGGGGCTCTCGCTCACATAGCTGCGGGAAGTAGGGGTGCTGAGGGTGCTGCAGCATCCCCTGATAAATCGAGATTAACCCCTAGTTAAAAAAGTATGACCATCATTTGACAAGGTTTAGGATTTGCCATAGGCATAAGTTTATTCCAAACATTTCGCAATGAAATGCATCAGTTTTGCATTCAGGCCTACATTCCCAATTTAGCCACAACATTTGTGAACTATGCCTTTATTGCTCCTGTATGAGCAGAGAAGAATACCCCCTTTTGCCCTCAGAACAACCTAAATTCGTCGGGACATGGACTCTACAAGGTTTCGAAAGCGTTCCACAGGGATGCTGGCCCATGTCGACTCCAATGCTTCCCACAGTTGTGTCAAGTTGGCTGGATGTCCTTCGGGTGGTGGACCATTCTTAATACACATGGGAAACTGTTGAGCATGAAAATCCCAGCAGCGTTGCAGTTCTTGACACACTCAAACCGGTGCGCCTGCCACTTACTACCATACCCCGTTCAAAAGGCACTTCAAGCTTTTGTCTTGCTCATTCACCCTCTGAATGGCACACATACACAATCCATGTCTCAATTGTCTCAAGGCTTTAAAATCCTTCTTTAACCTGCCTGCTCCCCTTCATCTACACTGATTGAAGTGGATTAAACAAGTGACATCAATAAGGGATCCTAGCTTTCACCTGGATTCACCTGGTCAGTCTATGTTATGGAAAGAGCAGGTGTTCTTAATGTTTTTTATACTCAGTGTACATCATAAGGATGTAGTAGCCTAATGCCTCGATCATACCTACAGTGTCATTGCACAAAATGGTATGCAGCATCATCTGGATATGTGTGCAACAAAAGTTCAGCATTCACCTGCTACCATTTCTGTCAAGCCATCTACACATACAGAATGCACTGCCACTGCAACGCAGTGCTGTAAGGCAAATGCAGTGTTCCATTAGAAATTAATGTACTTCTGGTGTACAAAAACATAATGGCACTGTCGGTGTAATCGAGGCGTTAGGCCAATGTAATAGGCCTATTGTCAACCAATCATATTTCTCAAATCCTTTCGGGAGATGACACTTAGGCCTACTGTGCTTCTGGTGAAGAGCTACAAAATTAAGTAAATAGCTGTATTAGACTGAAAGTAATTTCATCAAACTTGTGAGGCTCTCCTTTCTTATTCAATATATTTGCTGCTACTTCACTCAATCCTATTTTAAAAGTCTCCCTTAACTGTTTTACATTCCCTGAGACCAATCAGAAATGTTTCCTTGGCCATACATGTGGTCTCTCGTTTCTGCATCACCTAATTGAAATTGCATGTTAACTTCAGCGGACTGCCGGGGTGTAGCAAGATGATGGATATACTGACAACACTATATATATACAAAAGTATGTGGACACCCCTTCAAATTAGTGGATTTGGCTATTTCAGCCACACCCGTTGCTGACAGGTGTATAAAATTGAGCACACAGCCATGCAATCTCCATCGACAAACATTGGCAGTAGAATGGCCTTACTGAAGAGCTCAGTGACTTTCAACGTGGCACCGTCATAGGATGCCACCTTTCCAACAAGTCAGTTTGTCAAATTTCTGCCCTGTTAGAGCTGCCCCGGTCAACTGTAAGTGTTGTTATTGTGAAGTGGAAACATCTAGGAGCAACAACGGCTCAGCCGCAAAGTGGTAGGCCACACAAGCTCACAGAACGGGACCACCGAGTGCTTTAGCACATAAAAATCGTCTATCCTCGGTTGCAACACTCCCTACCGAGTTCCAAACTGTCTCTGCAAGCAACGTCAGCACAATAACTGTTTGTCGGAAGCTTCATGAAATGGGTTTCCATGGCCGAGCATCCGCACACAAGCCTAAGATCACCATGCGCAATGCCAAGCGTCGGCTGGAGTGGTGTAAAGCTCTGGAGCAGTGAAAACGGTTTTGGCGGATGCCAGAAGGACGCTATCTGCCCCAATGCATAGTGCCAACTGTAAAGTTTGGTGGAGGAGGAATAATGGTCTGGGGCAGTTTTTCATGTTTTGGGCTAGGCACCTTAGTTCCAGTGAAGGGAAATCTTAACGCTACAGCATACAATGACATTCTAGATGATTCTGTGCTTCCAATTTAGTTGCAACAGTTTGGGAAAGGCCCTTTCCTGTTTCAGCATGACAATGCCCCTGTGCACAAAGAGAGGTCCATACAGAAATGGTTTGTCGAGATCGGTGTGGAAGAACTTGACTGGCCTGCACAAAGCCCTGACCTTAACCCCATCGAACACCATTGGGATTAATTGAAACGCCGACTGCGAGCCAGGCCTAATCGCCCAACATCAGTGCTCGACCTCACTAATGCTCTTGTGGCTGAATGGAAGCAAGTCCCCGCAGCAATGTTCTAGTGGAAAGCCTTCCCAGAAGAGTGGAGGCTGTTATAGCAGCAAAAGGGGGACCAACTCCATATTAATGCCCATGATTTTGGAATGAGATGTTCGACAAGCAGGTGTCCACATACTTTTGGTCATGTAGTGTACTACTCCAGGGTTGCCAGGTCTACCAAAAATGTATAGAATAAAGACTAGTCAAAACCCGACCACAAGGCCTGATACAAAAAATGTTTTGCAGCGAGAGAGGAATTGCTACATTTAGCCAATAAACCCATTTTTTCCATAATGTTATCGAGCAAAATAAGAAGGAATCTCGACTTAACTTCCAACGACCTAAGAAGGTAAATTCGGTTTTCCATCAAAATAATAGTTATTGCTTGCTAATGTGACTAATAAAGGAATCTGAATATGTCGCAAGAGAAAATATATTAAACTTTATAAAACGAATGTTAAATTATTTTCTGCCAACCGTGCCTTCATTATGCAGATGTTAAGACTACAACCCGTTATAAATTGCCTATCTGCGAGATTGATTTGTAATTTCAATAAGAACAGGCTTTCAGAACACCCGGGGCTCAACGCTGACTCCGGGAGGGGGTAGATTTCATCCCTGCACGACCGAAATGAAGCGGCCCGCACTCTTGGCCTCGACGCTAGCAGAGAACATTTTGCAGAAACATCACACTATGTGGCATATCTCACTGCTTTCTTCCATGCGCTGTGCTCTCCTGACGCCAAATAATCAACACTTCTTAATATTAAGTGAATGGATTGTGGTCAGTAAACCCATGGAATATGGTGTTAGGTAACTGCGTAGCTACTGTTAATATTTATGCATAACTATATCGTAATTTTCCATTGAGAAAAAGTATTGGAAAAAGTATTTGTATCATTATTTTGTTACAACATTTTCATAAACCATGTTCAACATTTGATTGGCAACAAAAAAAAGCCTGACGTTGATGTTGGTCACATTACCGCTATGTGGTCGGAGGCGCAGTATGGATAATGTGACGCAATCGCGAAGCCTTCCGAGGCACGTAGAGGCCAATTTTAGCTCAGTACC